AGCATTTGACACAGTCTCCCCCAGCATCCTCACAGCTAAATTGAGGAAGTGTGGCCTGGATGATCAGGTAGTGAGGTGGACTGTGAACTGGCTGAAGGAGAGAAGCCAGAGAGTTGTAGTCTATGGGGCTGAGTCTAGTTGGAGGCCTGTAACTAGTGGAGTGCCTCAAGGGTCAGTACTGGGACCGGTATTATTTAATATATTCATCAACGATTTAGATGAGGGAATTGAGTGTACTGTCAGCAAGTCTGCTGATGACACTAAGCTGGGAGGAGTGGCTGACACGCCAGAAGGCTGTGCTGCCATCCAGCGAGACCTGGACAGGCTGGAGAGTTGGGCAGGGAATAACTTGATGAAATATAACAAGGGAAAGTGTAGAGTCCTGCATCTGGGCAGGAACAACCCCAGGTTCCAGTATAGGTTGGGGAACGACCTGTTAGAGAGCAGTGTAGGGGAGAGGGACCTGGGGATCCTAGTGGACGACAGGATGACCATGAGCCAACACTGTGCCCTTGTGGCCAAGAAGGCCAATGGCATCCTGGGGTGTATTAGAAGGGGGGTGGTTAGTAGGTCGAGAGAGGTCCTCCTTCCCCTCTACTCTGCCCTGCTGAGACCGCATCTGGAATATTGTGTCCAGTTCTGGGCCCCTCAGTTCAAGAAGGACAGGGAGCTGCTGGAGAGAGTCCAGCGCAGGGCAACGAAGATGATGAAGGGAGTGGAGCATCTCCCTTATGAGGAAAGACTGAGGGAGCTGGGTCTCTATAGTTTAGAGAAGAGGAGACTGAGGGGTGACCTTATTAGTGTATATAAATATATAAAGGGGGAGTGTCACGAGGATGGAGCCAGGCTCTACTCGGTGGCAATGATAGGACAAGGGGTAATGGGTACAAACTGGAACACAAGAGGTTCCACTAAAACTTGAGAAGAAAATTCTTCTCAGTGAGGGCGACGGAACACTGGAACAGGCTGCCCAGGGAGGTTGTGGAGTCTCCTTCCCTGGAGACATTCAAAGCCCGCCTGGACACATTCCTGTGTAACCTTATCTAGGTGTTCCTGCTCTGGCAGGGGGATTGGACTAGATGATCTTTTGAGGTCCCTTCCAATCTCTAGCATACTGTGATATAGCATGCTTTATGAAATTACTTTCAAAGATAAGCATAATAAAATCATTAAAATTAAAAATAAATTATTATTTTGTCAGTCCCCTCAAGTTTATAACTGAATTTTGCATCAGAGAAATTTAATTTTTATTTCAGAAATATGCAGTGTACTAAAGGAAATAAGATTTCCCTAGGATTTCCTTTCATGTTAACGTGTAGACCTATTTTTCCCCTTAGGGTTGCCCCTTCTTCTCAAGGAGAATGTCTTTTCAGAACTGTGGCTGCTCAGTGCATCCAGGCATGGTGTGAATGTGTGGTATAAGAAGGAAGAATCTTGAGTCTGTTGTGGGAGCGTGGCAACTTAGGTCCATGTAAGACAAGAAAACTTAGTGACAGAACATTTTACTGTAGGTAACCTTGGCATCATTTCATGAAGACTACAGTTCCACATTTCTGCTGCTGGGAAGACATCTTATTGAAAATTTTTATTTCTTACAACATTTCTGGTGCCGTGGTAGAACAGAACATAAAGAATACTATTGGAGTTGTAGGATGTTGCTTTATCGGAGACATCATTTCACTAAAACCTCACGTCGTGCTGGAACTCTCTTAGTAGAACCATTATATTTCATAAAGATTTAAAATAGCAGGCATTAGCTAGCAAATTAAAAGCAGTCCTTTCTTATATTATGTTAACCCGCATATGAGACCAACGTAGAAACCTTTCTTCTGGCAGTTTCTTGTTGGATGCTGTGTGTTGGAGACCACTGTACCAGCTTTGTGCAAAGCAGCATATGGAAGCTGTTGACTTCACTAGGAACTGAGTATCTGTTGTCAGTGAAGATAAAGGTAATTTTCCTGAAGTGTACACAGGCCTAGCTCCATTACAAGTGAAGAACTGAGTGCCAGTTTCGAAAGTGTCCCTTCCTAGTAGATTGAATATATGAATATCAATACCCCGTTAACTGCTTGGTTGAAGACTGGAGAAGTTCCAAAGATTAATGTAAAGGATGTACTGATCTAACGCTCCCTTCTGAAAGGTTTAATAGAATAAAAATGAAGCAATTGGATTTTAGATATTCAATGGAATTTTTTACTGGGAAAATTTTGTTTTGTAGTTTGTACATTCTTTATATTGTAAATTAAATGAAAAAAATAGGTGTAAAGTGTTGAAAAAGTCAATGAAACGAATTTCAAATGACTTTGACTTTAATGAAAAAAAAGTTGCTTTGCTTTTGGTGATCTCAGTTTAAAAAAAGACATGCATTTTTTAATTAAATAACACAGAAGATCTATGAACCATTTAATTTGAGTTGAAATGTTTTTTTGTTAAGGTGAATGGAGTTACTGTGGCCCATTGCAGAGGTATTTTGAATAATGATCATTGCTGGCATGTTCTAGTTTCAGAAATAAGTAAAGGAGATGCAAAATGGAAGTTGGAGAGTGGTATTAGCATGGCCCTGCTTCTGGGCTAATGTAATCTGTTTCTCACCCAGGGTAGTTTACTTGGATGGAAACCACAATGATACATACCAACTGGTGCTGGTGCCTGCTTTACTCATATCTAGCTGCCCTATTTTCTCAAAACACATCCCTGGCAGCGTTCAAGGCCAGGTTGGACGAAGCCTTGGGTGAGATGGTTTAGTGTGAGGTGTCCCTGCCCATGGCAGGGGTGTTGGAACTTGATGATCTTAAGGTCCTTTCTGACCCTAACGATTCTATGATTCTATGATTATGAGCTCAAGGGTTTGGTTTTGTTTGTTTTTTTTTTCTTTCCCTGAGTAAAAATCTTAAATATCCTAAATCCTAAATATGAAAAATGTAAAATATACTATAGGACAATTATGGCTGCTCCTAAATTTAGTCAGAATAAAGCATTCATATAAAATAATTTCAAATATGAATATGCAAAAACTTGCCTTGTAAAAAGACAGCCCTGTCATTAGCCAGCTGTATACAAATGGTCTTTGATTCTATAAATACTGATTCTCACATGTGAGCTAAAAAAAAAAATCAACTCACTCAGTATTTGGAGGAACCCATAGACACGTCTGGCATATTTGTCTCTATAGAAGCTGAATGTGCCAAGCTCTTGTTACTGAACTTTCAAGGGCTAAAATGATACAGACTTGATTGTAAAAAAAAAAAAAATTAAAAAAAATCTACACTCTACCATCTTAAATCTGGTGAATTAATGGTGTCTTTTTGAACAATAAGGGTGCCCTCTGTACATTATATTCTATCCTCTAAGGGCCTGGAGGTGTGCAATTTTCTGCTTATCAAGATGGAAAAAAAAGTCTCCAGATTTAAATCTGTCAGCTTCCCTAAGAAAATAATGCAGTGAAAAACAATAGTGAGATAGACTGTGAAGAAAAATGGTCTTTAATACCTTTGGTGTCTAGGCTTTAATTCCTTAGGTGATCCTGAGTTATTTGGATACATGCTAGCACACTTATGCACCTATTGATCATTTGCCATCTAGAAATGAGAGGGCCAGAGTGTATTTTGGACTAGGATTACAGTGTGAGTGAATTAGGTTTTGTGGTATTATAATATCAGCTTTGGAAGGATAGCCTGCCAAAAATGTAATAGTGCAGGAGAACGAGATGGCTCTGAGCATAAACGCTGTCCTCAGTTCAGCACAGAAGCTCTTCTAACTATCTGTAAATACAGAAATATACAGTATTGTTTGTATAATAACATTTCTTTTTACCCCTTCCTGTTTAAAACTAAAGAATAAGGACAAACAAAAAATGCAATAAAAGCAAGTTCAGAGTGACCAAAGGCAAAGACATATCAGACTTTCCACAAATTTTCCTTTGTTCAGATATACCAAGAGTGCATCTACCAGGGGAGCTAAGGAGATGTTTTCCTCTGGGTTATCCACAGTCCCTGCATTAGCCTGTGCTGCAGAGCATAGACTTTGTGACACATCAGCAAACACCTTCCTTGTCATTGATGTGGCCAGCCCTGTGATACTGAAAGGGTCCTTCATGACACAGTCAGAGGGCTGTTTCCACAGGGTTCACAGGTAATGCAGTCTGGAAAGTGGAAGGAGAACACAAACAAATCAAACGTGAGCTTTTCCATGCTCTGCCGGCTGGAATTCACAATTCAAATACTGGGTTTTTACACAGTTTCTTCCACTGGGTATTAAAAGCATAACAGCATGTTTGTATGTTTACCTGTATAATTTTGTCTGTCTATGTATATTTTAATTTCTGCATTTACACCTACTATGACTGCTTACCTACAGAAACACAACAGTAAGCATGGAGTGAAAGGATGAGATTCATGTAAATTATGATATTGGTCTATTCAGGGCAGTAAGCTAATGACCACCCAGCTCTTAGCATCTGGGGTACGTGAGGTGTCTGTAAAGAAGCATGAACATGTCTTTTAAATTCTGCTGTAGTGTGGCCTGAAAAAGAGTGGCTGAACAATTGGTAACAAACAGAACAATTAATTTATTGAACTTACACAACCTCCTCCCCAAAAGGCTCTGGGAATTTACCATTCTCCAGCTTATATGTGTTGCTCCTGTTCATCTTTTGCACCTCTTATATCAGTCTGCCCTACAACAAAGAAGTCTGTGCAAATTGTACCTTGTGGCTGTGACTTTTCTGAGATAATGGAAAAGAACGTGCAGGTGCAGAAATTGTTACAGCACAGGACCAAGGCAAGTGAGGTTTTTGGCCTGATTTCTAAAGTACTTAGAGTAGGGAAAAAAGGGGAAAAAAGGTAAAAAAAAATAATATTTCCTCAGGGACTAAAAATGAAAGCATAGATCCATTGGCCTGAAGGTATCCTGATGCTTTACACTCTGATAGACCTTATCAAACACCAAATACTAGTAGGAAATGTGGAACTGATTTCAATTTGTGTATGCTTTCATTGCAGGAATATCAAATTGATATATTTTTTGCCCAGACGTGGACAGATAGCCGTCTTCGCTTCAATAGCACCATGAAAATACTGACTCTGAACAGCAACATGGTTGGCTTGATTTGGATCCCAGACACAATATTTCGAAACTCAAAGACGGCAGAGGCTCACTGGATCACCACCCCCAATCAACTCCTCCGCATATGGAATGATGGCAAGATCTTGTACACTCTCAGGTGAGCACTCCATGAGTTGCAGTGATGAAAACTTCTCTTATCTCTACTGTGGTAGTAGTAAATTTCAGTGGTATCTTTGTTCTCCTCTGCTGTGTTCTTCATGATGCTTACCTGACCATGCTTGACAAGTATGAAATATTCAGATGTAAGTACTGCTGAGTTTAAAAAAAACAAACTTGTGTCTTTCTAAAAAAGAAACTTTGAGAAATAGGTCTGTCTAAATTGTAGAAGTTCACCTTTCTGGTGCCTATAATAAAATCAAGAGCATGTAGTCCCATAAAACCTGTCAGAAACCTTTCTGATCAGACTTAGATGCAGGGTTGGATAAAATATTTCTAGATTCATGCTAATGCCATTACTTGATTCTTCAAATAAGTCACACCGAAAGATATTCTGTAATACCTCATTGCATGGTGAATTGCTTGAGGAAAGGCTTTTAGAGTTTTTCTATCTTTGTCATACCATCGACTCTGTGGTATTAGAAATACTGTATACGTTTGCATAAAAAAGTCTGTGGAAATCAAAATATGTGTTTACTTATGGAAGAGATGAATTGCTCAGAAGGGAGTTTTGCCATAAGCCATATTCTACACAGCAAGCTGTTTCAGAAACGTCCCTTTTATACTACATTCTCTCCAGTGATTGTGTTCAGCCCTTTCGGTGCAAAAGCATATTCTGATCATGATTGCAATTGCACTCGGGCTTCAATAGGAAGTCTTTGGCAAACAATAAGAAAGGAATTAAATAGCTAGATAAGCTACTGATATTTTTAGTTCCCTTCTGTTCTTAGTCTTGCTCCAGTGTAAAAAGCTCTTGCTTATTTCAGTAGCCTTTAGATAAAGCTTCAGGGTTAGGATGTCAACTCCAATACCCTCTTGGTTGGATTGGGGTTTTATTTTTTGTTTTGATGGTTTTTTTTGTTTGGTTGGGGTATCTTTTGTGTTTAATTGTTTGGTTTTTTTTTTTCTATTACGTTCTATTTCAGTATTTCACAGCAAGTTAGGTGTCTGCCTAATAGGAGTTAGACTTACTTAGCTGTCACTAAAGAGACTATTTGTTGAATGAACTGCAAAATTCTTCTAAAACAGCTAAAAAAGGGGTAATACTTGACCCAGTGGATTGTGTGAATAAGCATTTTTAGTTTGTGAAAGAAGTTTTCAGTCCTTTTTGCCCACTCAGGTCAGCCTTCTTTTTACATAGGAGAAGCTGTTCGAATAGCTAGGGTTGGAAGGTCTTAAGATCATCTAGTTCCAACACCTCTGCCGTGGGCAGGGACACCTCACACTAAACCATCTCACCCAAGGCTTCGTCCAACCTGGCCATGAGCACTGCCAGGGATGGAGCATTCACAACCTCCCTGGGCAACCTATTCCAGTGCCTCACCACCCTTACAGTAAACAACATCCTCCTTATATCCAATCTAAATTTCCTCTGTTTAAGTTTTAACCCATTACCCCTTGTCCTATCACTACAGTCCCTAATGAAGAGTCCCTCCCCAGCATCCCTATAGGCCCCCTTCAGATACTGGAAGGCTGCTATGAGGTCTCCACACAGCCTTCTCTTCTCCAGGCAGAACAGCCCCAACTTCCTCAGCCTGTCTTCATACAGGAGGTGCTCCAGGCCCCTGATCATCCTCGTGGCCCTCCTCTGGACTTGTTCCAACAGTTCCATATCCTTTTTATGTTGAGGACACCAGAACTGCACACAATACTCCAGGTGAGGTCTCATGAGAGCAGAGTAGAGGGGCAGGATCACCTCCTTGGACCTGCTGGTCACACTCCTTTTGATGCAGCCCAGGATACGGTTGGCTTTCTGGGCTGTGAGCGCACACTGCCGGCTCATGTTCATTTTCTCATCAACCAAAACCAGGAGGCCCTTCTCCTCAGGGCTGCTCTGAACCTCTTCTCTGCCCAACCTGTAGCTGTGCCTGGGATTGCCCCAACCCAGGTGTAGGACCTTGCACTTGGCATGGTTAAGCTTCATAAGGTTGGTGTCGGCCCATCATTCAAGTGTGTCAGGGTCCCTCTGGATGGCATTCCTTTCTCCAGCATATCAACAGAACCACACAGCTTGGTGTCATCGGCAAACTTGCTGAGGGCGCACTCAATCCCACTGTCCATGTCAGCGACAGATGTTGAACAAGACCGGTCCAACACCGATCCCTGAGGAACACCACTCATTACTGTTTTCCAGCTGGACATTGAGCCATTGACCACAACTCTTTGTGTGCGGCCATCCAGCCAGTTCTTTATCCACCGAGTGGTCCGTCCATCAAATTGATGTGTCTCCAATTTAGGGACAAGGATGTCATGCAGGACAGCATCAAATGCTTTGCACAAGTCCAGGTAGATGACGTCAACTGCTCTGTCCATCAGTTCTGTAGCCCCATCATAGAAGGCCACCAAATTGGTCAGGCAGGATTTCCCCTTAATGAAGCCATGCTGGCTGTCACCAAGCACCTTGTTGTTTTTCATGTGCCTTAGCATGCCTTCCAGGAGAATCTGCTCCAAGATTTTGCCAGGCACAGAGGTGAGACTGACTGGTCTGTAGTTCCCTGGGTCATCCATTTCCCCCTTGTTGAAAGGGGGGTTATATTTCCCTTTTCCCAGTCGTTGGGAACTTCACCTGACTGCCATGATTTCTCAAATATGATGGACATTTAAGAACGATCATTGTTCATTGATATCACTTTGTAATTCAGAAACAATTTATCTGACTTAATTGCCAGAATTAGTATGGCGAGAGATACCTACTATATGCCCTGGTATAGTCATGTGTTTATTAGACTTTTGTGTTCAGGAGAAAGTGTACAAGGTTCAACCACCCTCCATGCCTTTCCATCCCCTTCCTTGCCTGTTTTAGGGTGTGAAAGAATTTTAAATTCACACTCTAAGGAAATGTGGAGAATGTTCCTCATAAAATTCCTTATGAGGTTTCTGTTTTGTGGAATTGCATTCCGTATTTCCTGCTATTTTTGTAAACAATATTTGTTTTCATCCCATATCCTTCAATGATGAATTATCTATAGAAAAACATAGACACAGATTTCTGGGTATCAAGAAATTCTTAATGATGTGTCTGAAATTGTTTGTGATTTTAGATAATTATTATTGTTTTGGATAAGACCTATGTGGCCAATGAACAATCTCCAAATCAAGTCCTTTCCTTTTGGGACTTACTTATGGATGTCAGAATGCTCTTGCATGATACCTAAGGTTCCCTGCCTCCTCCCCTGGCCGTTCATTGTGCTGCTGTATAGTAATAGATTATTGGTTTCTCCATAGGCTTACCATCAATGCTGAGTGCCAGCTGCAGCTTCACAATTTCCCAATGGATGAACACTCTTGCCCTCTGATATTCTCTAGCTGTAAGTACTGCTTTGATGCCTTATTGTTGTAATTGACTAGTATTCAGAAGCATGAATTTAATTCTGATTTCTGTCGGGTTGTTCAACCGTTCCGCAACAGGTATATGAAGCTTAGGTTTGTTTAAATATTCAGGAAATTTTTGTTTCCCTCTCTAGCAATCCTGGTGGACGGACCTCAGCCATGAAACATGAAGTCTTCTGTAGGTTTACTTTGTTATTTTTACCAGAACCAGCCTTTTTAGTTCATACTATAGTCAAACTTTCAGCAGGAGCTGATATTCATACTAGTCTTTGCTATGGTAACCTATAAAATAATGTGACATGCAAATGAGAATAGAAATTGCCATTTTCTAGGGGAGGCGCACAATTTGGGGACATGACTAGCAGTCTCTGAACATATAAGTTTACAGCAAGTAACATGGTAATGCCTCTCTGTTCCATAATAAAATAAATGGTGTAACTACTGTGAATCTCATTTTCCTTTTATTCCTCAGCTTTTCTAGTAGTCCCAATGTTGTATATAGTGTTGTTGGTACATTTAAAACCTACCTCATAGGCAAAACAAATACATTGGTGAAATGAATGCAGAACGAAAGATAAGTTAATAGTAAGGTCCAATATTACTGTGAGAAGTTATCTTCATGTTGATTCATTTAAAAAAGCTTGAGAGCTATCTGCTAGTGGGTATACCTGCAGAGTTTCGTAATTCAGAGCCACAAAACCACGTTTTACCAACATTTGTAAAAGAGTATCCACTAAAGATACTTATTTTGATAAACTCCAAGACTCTGTTCTTGGACAATTTGTGTTCTCCAAAAGTGAATAGTAAATGTATTGTTCTGTCTTTCTATTTAGAAAATAGCATTTTCTCCATCATCTCTTAAAAAATGATTGAATAATAACACTATTTAATGCCTTTATAACAGATATGCTGTTGTGATAGTAGGGTATTAATTTCCATCTATGATATACAAACAGTGATCCTCAGTCAGAAACTCGATTTAAACTTCAGCTAATCCAGTGTGTATTCTTCTTTTTCCCCAGGAAAATGTTTTTAAAAATTCTGCCAATGTAAACATCTCCCTTTCCCCCCAAACATCATTACCACACTGCCATTTTTTAACATCTATGCATATGAGTGAGCCTTGGCAAAAATACACAGTGGTGGGTTTAATTCAGATGCGTGCAATATATGCATACTCTGAACAAGACATAACTGAACAAGAGGCAGATAGCTCCTGAATGACCTTTCCTACTAATGAACACTTGTCACTGAACTGCATGCACCTCAGCTGTTTTTAGTTAGTGCATAATGCTTCTCTTACCTTGTGGCAATCTGCTGTTGTTTTGTTAAGGTACTGGGAAAGGAGTGTGTGATATTAAAAATGAAATCCCAGTCCAGAGATACTAATTAAACCTACCACACAAATTTAATAGGTCCTGCACTAGCAATATCTGAAAATGGTGAACTTTAATCTAAACAGGAAAGTTGCTTCAAACCTTGCATTCCCTGGTAGCTAGACGGTTGCAGAATGAAAGTAAGTCAAGCTGTGTGTTTTTTATTTAAAGAGAGAGGATATCAGTGGGAACTTCAGAAGGCTGTGCTGCATGGCAAAGTTTCAAATACGTCTTGATTTGCAGAGATTCCTCATAATTTAGATCTGCTAGCTCAGAGCCCTTCTGCTCTTGAAAATACACATGCATTGCCATCATACATGTACTAACATTTATGGAGATAACACAGGATGAAGGAGAAGCTGAATATGTCACAGTTTCTATGTGTGCTCTATGTAGTCTCTTTTCAGATGGAAAACCCCATGGAGAAATGTTAAATTATATTGTATAGTTTTGTCAGCCTTTGTAGTCATGTTGATAACAAGGATTTATTTCTTTAGGTCCAAATGGAATTGTGTTCTTCTCTTCAACACATTTAGCACTACTATTATCATAATAGCAGGACATTCTCTGTATGATTTGTTTGTTTCAGAACACGGTTGTATTTTAGTGGTGTGCACATTCATAGCAGTCTCTAGATACATGCCACTCAGCGGGACTTATGACTGAATGAATGCCTGAATGATTTATTACTGCCCTCTATGACAAGTTTCTGAGGGAACAAGCTGATTACAGATTCCAAGATGTATGTCTTTGAATAAGATAAAAATGGTTGTAGAATTCACAGCACAGCTTCACTTCCCTCAGCATCCCTTTTGCTTGTTCCCTGGCATGCAGACAAATCTTCACAGTTTCCACTGCAGGCAAGCACAAAAAAGCACAAGTTTAGAAGAATATTCCCTGCAGCTCAACACACATACGAAGAAGGTTAATATTTGAAATTTCTTACTTTTTATATAAATTTCCCTTGATATTACAGAAATGTGAAACTAATCTTAAATAATTTTATTTTCCTCTAGTGTTAGCTAATTCACACCCTAACCCTGTTGTTGCTTTGGGGACAGTTGACATTCCTTTGGTGAGAATATTGAGCTCTACTGGGTCTGGTTGCCAGGATAAATATGGGAAAACCAGCATCTTACACACAAGAGACCATCTCAGTGTGCTAACAGTAATTACTAAAACCTACCTACCACTTCCTGCGGAAAATCTTGCTCAAGAATGGTTCCTGGAGTTCCGTAGTCTCTTTTATAGGAATTAGAAAGTATTGAAATAATTTGAAAGCTCTTCACTCTCTCTCTGTAAGTTTTGTATGTGCTTCAGTTGGTGAGATGAATCATCTGGCATATTAGTGCACGTTGCAGGTGTGTGTCTTTCATTGTCATTCTTGCATAGATGTGCACTTAGCACACTGCTTATGTGAAAAGCTGAGCCCAATGGCATAATCCAGGGCTGCTATACAATGTGGCAGCTCTTTCCCCGTCCGTGTACCAGATTGGTTTGGTTATTCACATGTGACAAACAGTATTCCTTAATACAGAGATGCTATAACACAGGCACCAATGCCAACACATGGTATGAATGTGTGTGTTTCCCAATGAATGTGAAGAATGAGTGCTGCAAATTGACCCCAGTGTAGCAACCTTTGATATGCTATATCAATTTGATGCGCTTTGTCAAATATGATATCATATTTTCTTTATATAGTTTTAAAGTACTATATATTACTGCATAAACATATTCTGTCAGTGAGATTCTTTCTTTGGGTGAATTTATCCTTCTTAGCCAATGGAGGCTGCTTTGCTACTTTTGGCACTCAGGTAGCATATTAAGCTGTCTTGGTTATCTCTATTCAGCAGTGTTTTGAGAATTGTGGAAATAATTTCAGGTTCTGCCATAAAGTTTAGTTTATTGAGGTCGCTAAGATTCACATAAACATCAGAAAGGAAGAAGAGGTATTCTGTCTGAAGGACAATGTCAGCACAAGTATAAACAAATAAGAAACAGGAAGCAAAAGGCAGGCTGGAAATGAGAAATTAAACATATTAAATGTGGAACTCCCACCATAGGATACTGTGGGTGCTAAAATTCTACAGGGATTCAAAAGTGTTTTGGGAAAACATTGAAAGAAAAATGCATTGGGAGCTATTAATGATAGTGACATCCTGCTGTACTAATGGCCACTTTTTTTAATTTTTTTTTTATTTTTTTTTTTTTATTCTGAGGGAGTAAGGGCATTTCACACTTAATAGTAGGCAAAACTGGCCACATGCCTAAGCTACTTGAAGAAATTCTTTTCCATTAGTCCTGACAGGTTTCCAGCTGACCTACGTGGTTGGTTTTCCTTTCCTGTGTCAGACACTGTAAGACTGTTGAATGTTCTAGATTTTCTTAACTTAAGAGGACTAGGCACACTGCAGAATAACTTGATCATGTTTGTACCCACACCTCAGCAACAATTGTTACGGTGTTAATTTTTTCAGCCCAGCACAAATTTTCATTTCCTCTCCCCTTCCACGTGCTCAAGGTTAACGTAAATTCATGACACTCCTCCAGGCAACAGCATATGACAGTCATATAAAAATGCAACAGGCAAACACATTATACCTTGTTTAGAGCATCTGGTCAACTAACATTTTAATTATATACAAGGAACTTTAAAGTGGAAATTAGTGCTGGCTACATACCTAAGGCCTGAAACAATCTCTATGGCCATGCTTCAGGGTTTAGCAAATGCAGCAATATTAAGCTACAGTGCAAGACATCCGAATAAAAATAATTACTGAATTGATTAATGGGTTTTCATTCCTTTATTTTTCTTGCTGCTGTCCTGATCAAGCTCCAGGCGCTGTTGTTCATTTTAAAAAACACCTTAGATTTAGGCAATAGAAATTATGACATTTTTTGTAGCCAATTACTTACATTTTCCCCAGTGAGAAGTGTCCTGAGCTGGCCATTACTGGAGTATTGCTGTAAGGCAGGAAAAAGCGATCACGTCTGGAAGCACTAAAATATACACCTGAAGTTTCATTAACAGTTAAAGTGTTTTCAGTTCAGTTTAAAATAGGGGAAAGCAAAATTTCCAGCTATTGATGGTCCAGTTTGCTCAGTCAGGTCTTTAAACACTTGCTTGTAGCCTTCTAAAAGTTCAAGGGTTTGTGTTTTTCTAAGTGATGGACAAAAGCATGCAAACTATTGCAGAAAAAAGTAAGGAAATGTGAAATGCATTTGGAAGAAATTCATCCTATCTAACATAGTGCTTGAAAGAAACAGATCCTGCCTTTCTAAATATAAACTCAGTTCAATCAAATGTTCCTCCTTTGAACATGAAACCTCTTATGGATATGCAATCAGTACTTTGAGCCTCATATCATTAATTTTCTAACAGAACTAGCTGTCATCACAACTTTTAATATGTTTCTCCTAGCCTAGAAAAGTAAATGCTGGTTTTGTCAAATGAGCTGTGCTTTGTTTTATCTTATGAATCTCATCAGCAGAATCATTAATAAAGTCTGAGGGCAGAATTTTATTCCTGATGAAGAGCAGGCCAGAAGGAAAACAGCTTAATGTTCATATCTCAAAAGAAGTTTCATTAAAGATGCTGG